TTTTGGGTTTTCTTCATACACTTTTAGAGCCTTTCACTTGAACACTTTTTTTATATTTATTTAATAATCTATATTAGTGTTCAATTGCACGAACTGCTCAGAGAAACCGGCCATGGGCTAGGTCCGGGTTACCTAGAACTGATTATGGTAACCAAACCGAGTCGACCAAGTATCAGCTGGGCAAAAAATATGTTAAAAATTAAAAAATCCAAAAAACATGAAATTTTTGTTTAATATAGGATTAAACAAACACATCTAAATATGGTTAAAAAAAATATTAAAAAAATTGATTTGAAAAATAAATTGTGATCGGGGGTATTTTAAAAAAAGATGAGAAAATGTAAAATAAGATCCGTGGCCAAAATACTTTCTAATCTTTGCCAAAATGGTGGAACATGTAAAAAGACATGTTACAAATAGATTTCTTATTTTTTGAATTCTTTATATTTTCTAATTTTCTTTAAGATCCCCGAGTTGAACCCCCAATTAGAGACTCGGTCGCGAGCCCGAGTTACTCGACTGGACTCTCCCAGTTAGTCTAACATTGATTTAAATTTTAAATCTAAAAAAAACCTGAAAAACATTGGTAGCAATGTAAATGAGAGAAACAAACTTTTCCCCAACTGAATAAGGGAATCAGCCTGGCTGCATCCAGTTCAATCCAGATCAGTGATTTTTAAAACCTTGATTTAGAGTAAATTAGTTTGAATTGAAGTCTTCCAAATCCAAACTATATTATTACAAACAATAGAAAGAAGACACAATTGTTAGAGAGAGAGAGAGAGAGAGGTGTTCAGGGCGTCTCCCATGGTTAGAATGAAATTTTTTCCATTTGAAATTTTGATATGTACCTAACAATTACAAGATGAAAGACAGTAAGTTTTTAACTACTTAACTGTCAAGAATTTGGATTGTAAAAATCATACAGTATAATGTTTAATCTAATGATGGTTTTTAAGGCACAAATGTAGGAAATGAGTAAAGGGAATGCTCCACTCAGATCATACAATCTCTTGAATTTCTATATATTTGATGGAAATGGAAAAATTAGAGAGAATACAAGGGCCATAGTCTTGAGAGAGGGGATCATTTTTTTTGCTTACTCCTATATATCCACGAACATTTAATTTTTATTGGATAGTTGGGATCTCAACACAAACATTGTGTGTAGATCAAGTAGGAAAATTCGAACCGGAAAGGTTAATCAGACATAGGGATGGAAGCGGTTATTTGGTATTAATCAAGTTGGTTCAACTAGCCTAACTGGGTAAGTCTTGGGCAGTAAAAAAAGTGATAAAAAAATACAAAAAATCTAATAAAATATAAAAAGTATAACTAAAACATGATCAAATAAAGCACATCCAAGTAAAGTTGAAAATTAATGAAAAAAATAGATTTTAAAAAATCGATTTGTGCTAAGAGTTATTTTTGAATTTTTTTAAAAAAGGTGGGAAAATGTGAAAATAAGTATTAATGGCCAAAACAATTTTCAATCTTTGCCAAAATGATGAAAAATATTAAAAAATATATTACAAACAAAGTCCGTTATTTTTTTAGATTTTATATAATTTATTTTGATTTTTTTTAAATACCCAATTGATTCACCAAAACAGGATCCAACCAGACGGTTAGAATTTAAACCGCCTGATTTTTCCTACACTAGTGGAGACACACATTCCGGTAAAGTCCTCCCTAGTTAGTCACTCACTTCTTTAATTATCAATACAAGATCTCATACTTTTGATTTTGCCACCCATGTCATGGGTGACTTAATCAAGAGAAGCCTCTAGATAATTAAAAAAAAGTGAATGGTCCAATGCATCCTCCAATTTTAGAGGAAACTTATCAAAATACACTAAATGTATCAGTTTCTTAGCATTTTATCCATTTTCAACTATTCTTGATCGACCAGGAATTTTAAATGAATATAAATATATAAAATATTTCATCTCTTACATACATTTTAATAAATTTCTCAAATTTATATTAAGAAATTTGGAACTAGGGGTATTTTAGGAAATAATAAATTCAATAAAAAGATACAAGTATCAAATATGAAAGAGGCATTTTTTTAATACCACAAAATATATAAGATACTTGAGAAAATTCCCCATTTTCTATTAGTGCTCTCATTTTAGCTGGTGATTCATTTTTATGTTTTCAAGGGAGAAACATTTGTCTTGTTCCTTAATTTATTTTGCGTTTTTAAGGGGCAAATCAAAAGAATAGGACAATACCTTTACTTTATTAATTTTTAAAATGGTTTTGGAGATTCCAGTGAAACAAACTGATAGTAAAAGAGACAAAACAGCAAATACAAAACCACAATCACTTGATATCTTTCCTTTGAATCTTTCATTAATTTGTTATTGACAAAGAAGACAAACATGATGCAAAAACTACTTTTGTTTTTTGAATATTTTGAGTTTACAATTATTCCCCATTCCTTATGTGACAGCCGTTTCTTACACCACGCTTGAAAGTTTTCAGTAGCACTTTGGGGTGTGGTTTGCATAAGGCCGTGGCCTTAAACAATCAAAGTAAGGTGTACTTTCAAATAGTGTCAAAAAATGTTGTTTCAATACTGGGAATCTTTGTGATGGCTTGAGATTTTATTTTTATCCTTAATTATAAAATTTAAAGCTCAAAAAACAATGTAGATCGAGCACATCTATGAACACTTAACAGTCTTTAAAATTGACGGTTCAAAAATACATTACAAGATGCACTATTTCTAAGACTTGAAATCTATTTTCTCTCATGTCCATACATCTTGAGGTCCAGATTTGAGGATTTTTGGATATCGAAACAACCTCTTCTAGTGATTTTTGAGGTGCGTCTTAATTTGATTGTGTATGGCCTCACCCTTATATTGTACTTTTTCCTTCTTTATATTGGGAGAACCCTCTTGTTATTTTCCTAAAAAAAGAGAAACCCTCTCGTTATTTACCCAAAAAAAGAGAACCCTTTTTGTTTTTTTTTAATAATCTTTTCCTAAATATTCATAATTTTAAAGTGATCCCAAAATTTCAAATCAAAACATTGCCTAAGTAGGTCATTTGAGTTTTTTTTTGCACATATGGAAGCATAGAATATGACTTCGCATGATCATATACAAGATTTTGAAATCTTTTGCTTTTCAAAATTTACATTTCAACTTTGCAATTTGAGATGAAGGATGAAGGCTTAGGTACTTTTGAATATGTCAAGCATTCTTACTCCAATATGCATAGAAGAAAAACCTATGAGACCAAAGAATTTAATATCCAACCCTTGATACCTAAGAACCAGTGTGAGGGAAATTTTTCTATGTGTCTTTACATACATATAACTAACTAATGTACGGTAAGAAATTCACAATTTTTATCAAATGGCTTGGTAAGACGAGAACTATATCACAATTTGTCACTAACAGCCTCTGTCAGATGATAATTGCCATCGCAGCATGATTGAATTGGCAAGTAACACTCAATTGTCCAAACAATAACACGGTAGGATGTCTCGATACATATAAACTATGTGTGTTCATGACTCTCAAAATAAATGAAATTCATTGCGGATCTATGACTGACATTTGCAAATTCGCTAAATATCACTAGGACTCTTAAGACTCTAAAACTGTCTTCGAAGGAAATTGATTTAATCTTGAAAATTTTAAGGCACCGTGCGAGCCGCCAGGTCTATTTTGACTAGCATTAATTAATTTTATTTCATTTATTTGCTCATTTTTGTAAGGAAGTCACCTATATTTTAGGCTTCATTTGCAACACTTCTTAACAAGTGGGCTTGGAAAGTGGGTGCATACAAAAATGACAAGGAATAGTTCTCACACCAGCATGTTACAAAAATAGAACGATCAAACTACTCCTTAACACTATATGCAAACAGGAGGAAAGATCTCAATATAACTCCTCTAACATTTCCTTACTGTTGTTTTGGAACAGTCATTTGCAAGAGAGAGTTGATATTAATTGGGGAAGTATTGAAAGTCCTACCTTAGGTAGAGAACTGCTTCCCTGTTGATCTACTCAAAAAAGAAAAAATAAAATAAAAAATGACGAGAGAGGGAGGGATCTTTAGACTCCAAAGAGAAGAGATAAAGAGTTCTTTAGACCAGTGTTGTCAAATTCGCTTCATTCAAATTTTAAGTCTAGACCGAAGCGAAGTGAAGTTTGGTGCTGTTGCTTCAGTGGGTCTACTTCAAGCCGATGCGGCCGAAGCTTCGGCTTCTTCGGCTCAAGCGAAGAAATATTTACATAAAAATATTTTTTTTTGAATTTTTTCATTATTCTTATATATTATATATATAAATATTTAATTTATTTATATTAAAATTTTTTAAGAAAAAGTTTGAAGTCTCTCCCCCTAGAATCAGCCGAAGTATCGAATTGTTTCATTTTTCTCACCAAACTGAAAAAAACTCGAGAGCGAATATGACAACATTGCTTTAGATTCCAAAAACAACGACATTTTAGAACCCGTTTGAAGCAAAGAATCTCTCCCACTACAAAACAAAAAAGAATTTGCCGGATGAAAGAGAGAGAGATTTGCTTTGGAAAAGATCGGAACAATTCCGGAACATGTTAGAAGCAGAGAGCATCTCCCCCGCCATTTCAAAAATAAAGAAGCCAAAAGATTTCATGATGCTCCTATAGGAGCATCCTATTTATGGCTCCCTCAGGTTAAACCAATTTACAAGTACTTTTAGGGGCTTCAAATTTGGGGATATTACTGGTCTCAATAAATTTTTTTTTGCCAAATTCACACATTATGGGCTTGAAAAAGATAAAAGTCTCAAAATTGAATGGAGAGTCCAATTTTTTAAAGATGCATCTTGGGCTAGAGATTCAAAACTTTTTTTTTTCATAATCAACAAATGATTCTTAAGTGGTTCTCAAAATTTCATATGGAAAATTTTCCTCCCAAGTAGAAGCAAATCTTCTATCTGAGAGAGTAAATATATAATATACCCCAGAAGAGTTATAATGCATGCACTCAACAAAGAATTGATTTCTTTGAAAAAAAGATAAGAGAGAATTTTAGAACAAAGAATATATCTCTCACTGCTCCATAAACAAAGATTCATTGCTTCAAGTGCTTGCAAAAGCCCAAAAGTGTTCAAGATCTCTGGTGAATTCCCTTTCTCTCTTTAGAATCACAGTACAATGATCTGCATTAGGGATGACTTCCACTTCAGCTGAAGGGACCTTTTGCTTAATTTGGAAGCCACATTTCATGGGGACCAAATGGTCATTCCCCCCTAGCAAAATTTTAAGTGGGCACCCTGATCTCTTTACAGTTTCTAAGTAGTTATCCATGTACTTGGCTCCACCACATATCACATTGTGCATATTGTGCCAAGCAGAATGATGTGTGTGTTTGGTCAAGTCTGAGATAATGAAATGCTTTCCCCTGAAACAGAGTGTATAACAATTAGGTCAGAGTAGTTGTAAAACTAATGGAACTACATAAAGAAGTGTATTATGGTTTGTAAAGTCGTTTATATCGAAGATAAGAAAGTTGCAATCACCCTTAGCAGTCAAATATGAAATTAGAAAATTACAATCACTTTATTATATGTGATATCAATTGGTTAAATTGTGATGCTTTTCTCTCTGCTTGTATACACGTACACAAGCAAATCAAAAGGCTGAAGATGTGCCATGAATAATTAGATATGTCATTTCTTTGTACAGAGTTCAAGAAATACTTTCTTGGACTTCGAGCGCGGTCTTTGACATACCCCATATCCGCCTGATTGCACATCTTATAGCTAGAGCTAATCATTGTACATCCTGTGGCAGAGCTTATCGTAATCATATAAAGGTAATGGCGTCATTGTAATTCCCTACAAGTGTTATTGTTGATCACATATATTATGCCTCCTCCGAAGTATAGTTTATTTCTACTCCTTCGATCAGAAGATCTACTGAGAAGGATTTTTTCAATTTCAATTTCGAGGATTGCTAAAGAATTACTAGATTATTATCAAAAAAAATTGAAATTTGAGTTTTGTAACACTTAGATTTCACCAACTAAAAATTGGATAGTCTCCATTCGACCTCGAGCCATCTTTTTTTTCCAAGTGCATAAAGTGTACAATTAGGAATTTTTATTTATTGAGGTTAATCTATGGGTTGAAGATATCACATTCCCTTAATTTGGAAAATTAATTCTAAGTGGGGTTTTACCCGAGGGGTATGAGAATAGAATATCTTTCGGCTTACTTGTTTTAAATGAATAGGCTCTACGAATGAGCAGCAACGATGTCAAGGTGCCACTGTCTATGGTTCCATTCCTACCAAGGTCTAAAACAAAAAATTTATGCTCACAGATTGCCCAATTTTTCTATCCTCCCTTCAGCAACACCCAAGCTAGGAGCATTGTGAGTGAACTATAGGCCCTTTGAGAAGAAGTGAACAAAAAACTCAGATAACTAAAAGGCACAGAATTACCTATTGAATGTGAAGAGCTTGATGATCCATACCCAAAATCTATGGTGCTTGCATATTATGAAGCACACAGTTCTCCCCAAATGCTCATACCATGACATTACTGATGACCAGAATAGCAACAATGGCCATATTCGCCTTTCTGCCAATCCGATTAGAGCTGTGAAGCTCGCCTTCTCCATTGAAGAAGTGGGAAAATATGGCTGAATTAAACAAAAAATATATCAGATGAAAATCATATACGAGTATAGCATACTGTCATGAGAACACACTATACTCTTACCCTTCAGGTAAAAGAGCTACTCGAGGATTTTTTCAAAATGAAATTTTGGGATCAATTTTGAAATCACCAGATCAGAATCTTTTGTTTTTTTTCTTTTTTTCAAAGAAAGGATTTTAAGTTCTTAACCGCATAGATCTGACTATCTAAAAATTGAACAATCTCTACTACTTATTTCGGCTTTTTATGTACATTATCTACAGCACACACGTTCGTACATATGCACTATACAAGAAGCAATATAATGTTGCTATCTGAGAAAAATCAACAATGCTTATCACTACATTCATGCCCAAACACTTCTTCTCTTTCTTTCTTTCTTTCTTTTATTTATTTATTTATTTATTTATTTTATTTTATTTTTTTTGTAAATATCAACTTCATTATTGTATCAAAAAATGATGCACAACGAGAAAGATGTTCAAGTTATATACTCAAATTGATACAACTAGACTGTCCCTGTCCTGTGCTGCCCTAAAGGAAAAGGTTTTGTGATGCTTATAAACATGCCTACAAACATACATGAATCTACAGGCAGTGGTATCGATACTCTGCTATACATACACATCACTAATACATTCATACACATATTATTATGTATGCATGTACCATATACCAAATTAGTACATGTGTACATGCATCTCACGTGCAAATGTTACATTCACATGTAACATACATAGATTCATTTACATATCCTAATATAAGGGTGAGTTAAACCTATACATGTAATCATACATGACTTGACACAGCCATAAGCCCCAGCCACAACCAATAGTTCATGGTCGGGCAAAGAAGGGTCGTAGGACCATGCGGGAAAAAACGAAGCAATAATTTAATTAAGAAAATTATCTTAATTTCTTTTTTCTTTATTTTAGTTGTTACTTTTGATTTTAGTAAGGGCAAGAGTCCATCATGTTAATAATAGATGGTTAGGATTTCGTAAGATTTTTTTATGGTTTCGAGTTACTTAAATACTTGTTCTTGAAGGTTTAGATAGAGAACAATTACATCATAAATGAAAAATATACAATGAAACCATTTATCTGTGATACAAGATAGTCACAATTAATCTTAACTATTGGATGTGAAATTAGATGGTTGCATTATTCCATTGGCCAAGCTCAAACTTCAAAATAAATTTTTTCGAATTTTGTGACTTACCCAAACTATCAGATTTCATATCAAATGGTTATAAGTAATTATGACTTTTATGTATCAAAAGTAAATGGTCTCATTGTATATAATCCCTTATATATATATACTTGTTCCTTAGAGAACTTTGAGCTAATAAAATTTAGGGGACAAGCTTTCTATGCTTCCTCTACCGCATAAAACTTATATACTTTCCCTTATCCAACCATCCATTCTGAATGGAGGGTTAGGATTGCCCCAACCACAATGTTACGTCAGTACACTATTTTATTTTTAATTTTTTCCTATAAACTATTTTGACACCAAATTTCGGACGTCGATCCTTTATTAACCTCGCACTAACGAAAAATACTAAAAAAATATTTCCAATAAAATAAAGTGACCAAAATATCCCTGAAAGATTCAAGTGGTATTTTGGTCATTATATTTTATCGAAAACTTATTTTTAATATTTTTTATAAGTGCGCCCCAATGAGAAAACGACACGTACCAAATTTCATATTCATACAATTTGTATTAAAAAACTAAATATAAAATATTTTGAAACGTCGGATCTAAGATCAAACGGTGAGTGACTCCATCAAAATTGGACGGCTGAATGGTAGGGAAAGCATAGAAGATCTATGCTATAGGGGAAGTATATAAACCTTTCCCAAATTTAGGAGGTAGAGTACTTTCTGTTTTTACAATTTTCTTCCTTCTCTCCTCTTCTTTTCTTTTTTAAGGCTTGTCATCTCCGAGAGTTTATGTTAATTAAGGTGATGATTTGGGAAGAATTGATCTTAACTTGCATCTTAAAATTTTATTTTTGAGATAGATTTTGTGACTTAATTTTTAAAGACATGTAATCTCTAAAATGGAAATCATGAATATGACAAAATAAATAAATTTTAAAATTAAAATAATAATTCTATTAAAAAATATATTTGGACCACCTATTTGCATCCATATTTAAGATGGATGATTTATACGTTGGAACCACATATTGTAGAAATGTGGTTCAGTCCTCATGAAACAGTTTTCCTAACTTTATATATGCATAAAGTCTTCACCATACGTAACTAATATGCAAGCACACATGACAACAAAGTACAAACATACACAAGAATGTCATACATGTATAACATGCATATACCACCATTGATACATGCAAACATGTAAAACAAATATATAAATAAATAAATAAAGGGTTGTTAATGTCATACATGTATAACATGCATATACCACCATTGATACATGCAAACATGTAAAACAAATATATAAATAAATAAATAAAGTGTTGTTTTGGGCTACTCATTTGTGGTGAAACTTTTTATGTCCTATGAATGTTCAAGTCGGTTAAATGAATAATACAAGCGGGTCACCGATTTAATGCAGGATTGTCGAGACCGAACCGGTTCTGAAATGGTATAGGTTTGGGCCCGTCTCTCAACCCACTTTTATTTTTATTTATTTATTTAAGTTTGTCTAATATTTTTTGTGGTCCTCACCAAAATACTCACCCTATAAACCACTATTTTAATTTCAATTTTATTTTATTTGTTTATTTTTAATTTTTTTGGATCACCGATCCAAATGATTCGAGATCGATCAGGATTGCCGATCCAGCCGATCTGGACTGAATTATCCAGCCGATCTGGACTGAAATTGGAGGTGGAAGATCGGCTTCACTAATTCGTTATTTTTAAAACATTGATATACACACATACATATATACATACCGGCCCAATTATTGTGATAGATTTAACAGCATTGGGGTATTTTGCAGCTAAGGCCAAGGCAATGATGGAACCCATGGAATGAGCAACCAGATGGAAGGATTCAATGCCAAAAGGCTTGATCACAGAGTCTTCAATCTTTCCCAAGTGGTCTTTCAATCTGTATAAGCTCTCAAATGGCTTGGGGCTTCTCCCAAAACCCAAAAGGTCCGGCGCGAAAAGCCGGAATTTTCCGTCTGCATTGTCTGAGAGATTGTGAAAGACTGTCTCTGTAAAAATCAGTGACGATGATAGGATCCCATGTATGAGAATCACATCTTCAACCTTGTTTCCTTTTGGACCTGTCCCAAAAAAAAAAAATTCATAAAAACACTTGCATGTTTTGAATAATTGACCAAAATGGAAAAGGGTGTTAGCCCAAATTGTGATGAATACACTGAAATCAGGTTTAATTTAGTGCCCTTGGAGCTAAATCTTTTCCGTTGTGTTTTGTTATTTTTATTTTTTATTTTTTTAAAAGAGAATTCTCTTTTCTATTTTTTTTTTTTACTAGAAATTTTCGGTGAAATTTGATTGAAAATTTTAGAAATTGCGAACCAAGGTGAAATTTAGAAGGGGAGAGAGTTTTAAGTAATTGAGAAAGTAGAAATATGGGTGGTAAAAGAAGTCTGGCAACTGGTGTTGGTTTTTTCACTACACACTGCACATTTGAAAAATCGAACCGGACTCGGAAACCGGCCAAGGGCCGGGTTTGAGTAATCGGTAAACCAGACCCTTCAACCAGCCTAACCGGGTAGGTCCCTGCCCGTCTAAAAAGTATTAAAAAATAAATAAAAAATTATAAGAATTCAAAAAATATATGAAAAATATATTTAAAATATGATTAAACAAAGATAAAAAAACATGAACTTCATAAATCTATTTGTACCCAAGAATGGGAAAATATAAAAATAATTATTCTTGACTATAATATTTGTCGATCTTTGCTAAAATGATAAAAAAACATTCAAAGACGCATCACAAATAAATTCTTTATTTTCAAGATTTCCTTTTTTTAAAAAAAAAATTTAAACAGAGCGGCCGAACCACCCAAACCGGATGGGCCAGTAGGCCATTCCGGTTTGACCGACCAAGTTTACGAACACTACTACAGAGAGAGAGAGAGAGATAGAGATATGGATGCTTTTAAACTTTTTAAGGAAGCAAGAAATTGAATAGAAGAAATCCTGTACCTGGTGCTGGTTCTCTCACTGCAACATGAAGCAGCTGCTTCTCTTTCCCAAGCCATGACACACAGGCTTCACAGTGACAATCAGACCACCTTGGCCTCATTAAAGCACCACCTGCTTCCTCATTTCTCTCTTTTTCTCTCATTTTAAGGAAACCCATTTTCTGAATTCTAATCAGGAAGGCTCTGAATCTGTTCTCTCTCCGGTTTAGAGTCTCAGAAACCTCATCTTCTTCATCAATGGCATCGCGTACCCTGTTTTCTGCACTATTTTCATGGTGGCAATAACAGGGGAGACTTGTTTCTTCAAGTAATGAATCTGCAAATTTGTAAAAGAAGCAGAGAATAAGGTCCAAGAAGTCTAAGAAAGCAAAAACTATGGAGCTCAGCGCTGGAACAATGGAGTTCATGAGTTCTTGTGACCAATTCAATGAAGGAATACCAATCCATCATCAGGGGTTGGTAATTTATGACTAAATCTAAGATGGAGAGAGAGAGAGAGAGAGAGAGAGAGAGAGAGAGAGAGTAGTAGTAGTAGTCGTAGTAGTAG